AAGGAGCCTGGTCACTGACTTATGCTCAGTTTGTCTCAAGGTTTGTTTATGATAGAGGAAATAGGGTCTGGAGGCCATTAAAAAGAGGGTTCACAATAGGTCATATGGTATGGGTTCCTTCGACTACTGGAGAACTACTTTACTTGAGGATGATGTTGACGTAGTCAAGGGATCTACAAGTTATGACGCGATTCACAAAGTTGGTGACAATCAATATGAAACATTTAGAGATTCATGCTTTGCAATGGGCTTTCTTGAGGACGATAAAGAATACATTGATTCTATCAAGGAAGCAAGTGAATGGGGTTCAGGACATTTTCTTCGTAAACTTTTTGCTGTAATACTATTGTCGGGTGCTGCTAATCGGTCGGCACATGTCTGGACAGAATCTTGGCAACTATTATCCGATGGTCTTTTACATGCCCATAGATTATTGGCTCTAAATACAGGTTTCTTCATATCTCACTCTCACATATTTATGCAAACTATTTATTGGCCTGCTACCTTACTTTCGGCATGTTATCGCCGCATACGTACAAGTTTTTTTCTTTAACCCGTGTCTAATCTAACTACATCTAAAATTATTCCCCCTTGCATTCGTACAACTTTGGTTTTGACAGAGGCCGAATTGTAGAGTCTGACTTTGATAGAAATTGAAAAGCTAATGTAGGCAAATAGAAGGACTCTCAAAGATTTCAGTCCAATTCCATATACATACACCTATGTGCTAAAACAGTTAGGAAATAGACTCATATATGATGAACGTAATTATGATTCTTCAGAAATGAAATCGGAATTTACAAAACTCTTCATTGCTTTTATCGGTAATTCTTGAAATTTGTTTTCTTATGATTAACGTTACCGTTGTCCTTCTGGCTTCTTATTTTATCGGCTCCTTTTCAACATTACTAGTCTTAATTTTGTGTTATAAACTATTTCTTAGATGAACAAAGAGGCATATATGAAAAAATAATGGGGGTTGTCCAGTCACAAAATGATGGTGTCTTCTTCCTTTGTGGGTATGGCGGTACTAGTAAGACTTATATGTGGAGAACACTGACAGCAGCTTTGAGGTCCAAACATGAGATATGTTTAACCGTTTCCACCAGTGGTATAGCTTCTTTGTTATTGCCAGGGGGTAGAACTGCACATTCCAAGTTTAAGATTCCTGTGTTGATGCTTGATAATTCTACTTGCAAACTTGAATACAACGTTAATGTTGGAGACCTTATAAAACAGACAAAGCTAATTATATGGGACGGAGCACCAATGGCACACAAGCATGCTATAGAAGCGCATGACAAAACTTTGAAAGATGTCATGAGTACGTACAATAATTTGAAGGATGTCTTTGGTGGAAAGGTTGTAGTTTTCGGTGGTGACTTTAGACAAATTTTACCTGTTGTCCCATGAGGCATTCGTTCATATATTGTTCACTCGGCGATAAATGCATCTTACATATGGCATTCAGTTCATATTTTAATGCTAATAAAAAACATGTGTTTGCATTCGGTCCCGACAGAGCAAGATAAAAAGGAAATTGCAGACTTTTCAGATTGGATTTTGAGAATTGGCTAAGGCAAAGTATCAGAGCCTAATGATGATGTTGCAGAAATTGAAATTCCCCCTGAACTTTTGATAATAGACTTTTAAGATCCTGTTGTTGGCATTGTGAATAGTACATATCCTGATTTCATTAATAATTATCATTCCAACAATTACCTCAAGGGTCGAGCAATTCTCGCTTCTACGTTAGAGGTTGTGGATGACATCAACGACCACATTCTTACTTTAATGCTAGGTTTTCATACTCTTCCATTTATTTGACTGTCTAATATACATTGACTTCTATTTGCTGATTTATTTTTGTTCCCAAAACATGAGACATATGCGACTACTATAGTTTAAATACAATTGATAAGTCTGAAATTCATGACCCTGAAGTACTTGACATCCTGACACCGGAATTTCTTAGTTCCTTACGTACGTCAGGTTTGCCTAACCATCACTTAAAGTTAAAATTTGGAACACCTATTATGCTAATGCGAAACATAGACTAGTCTAAAGGTTTGTGTAATGACACAAGGCTAATCATAACAAACATGGCAAACCATGTCCTTGAAGCTTCAATAATGTCGGGAAAGGGTTCTGGAAATTTGGTTTACATCCCTCATATGGATATGTCACCGTCGCAGTCACCCTAACCATTCAAGCTAAATAGACGGCAGTTCCCAATTATTGTCTCATATGCCATGATGATTAACAAATCGCAAGGACAATATTTGAATAACGTAGGTCTCTACTTTCCAGGAGATGTATTTACCCATGGTCAAATTTATGTTTCACTATCAAGGGTCATAATAAAACAAGGAATCAAAATATTGATATATGATGAACATGGAAAGTTCAAAGTGACAACTACAAACGTTGTTTACAAGGAAGTTTTTGGCAATATATGATTATTCAAAAATTAGACTTGCTCTTTTGTTAGTCTGTATTATGTTGTTCTTGATGTAGAGTGTGTGATACATGAGTTTGTAACCTCACTGTTCGATATATTTAGGAATTATTGTTAAGCCTCATCTGTCTCAAAAATATATGTTGTTCCTTTTATGTTTCTAAACACACACCAACTTTTGTTGATTATTATACCATTTAATTTTGGACTGTTTAGCATGACATTCTATTTTCTATACATTTCTTTATCAACATGCCTAACCATCTGCATGCACCTAATGTTACGGTACAATAAATTTTTTCACCACTCTTTGTTTCATAGGAATTGATGCTTATCATATCAGTATTACAGCTACTGGTATAATCATTGTGACAGTAGTCAATTTGTAGGATTACAAATAATTAACACTACTTTCTTTATTACTTATGGCCCTGGCATACTGTATCACCCAAAAATATCATGTCGAATTCATGTTTTTATTTTTTGTATTATAACATCAGCAATCTAAATATTTTAGCATAGTATGTATACCACATCAAAAACTGATTACTAAAATTTATATATATCATAGCATCCAACATTTGCTAAACACTTGATCTAAATCATACCAACTGTTGAAACCTTACAAAATTAAAAACATAAACAAACTACACAAACAATTAATCCTTCTTTCCCATTACATAACCAACACAATCTGTTTCGATGCCTCTTCTTTCCCAGCTCAACATGAACCAATATTTCATCAGCCGACGGATATCGAATGCAGAAATGCACAATGTCTCCTTTCTTTAACTTTTCCTATTTAGAAAACTCATACCACCTAGTAGTAATATACTTCTCGCCTTTGTTATCATTCCTCACTTTCAATACACAGTTTTCTGAGATACCCTTGTCTGAATCATATAACACAATCGAGTTGACCGGTCCACTCAGACACTTCTTAATCACTTCGCGCGGTAGTTGTTGCAAAAAAATATAGTTAAATTAGATGAGATTCAACCCTGAAAAAATAACATACACCACTGCAAGAATTAACTTCTATTACTTACCAACACATTCCTACTCATAACCTTAGCATTAGATACAACCTGGCTCCAGTTTTCTTCGTTTTCTTTCACATATATTGGAGTAAATTTCTTGATTCAATCACCAAACCAGAAATATTCAAAACTAATCTTATTCTATTTTTTCCATACATCTGATACAATACATTTTATCCTTCTAAATATACTTGAAAACTTCAACATATACCACATTATTTACTCATTTTCAATACAACTAAACTTTTCAAACAAACCCACATCATAAAAAATAACACAACAATATGATTGGGTTTTGTTGTATTAGTATTCTATATAATTCTGCTAAAAAAACCAGCCACGAGGTATTAAGAACTCTACACTTACAGAAATTCCAACCAAAAACCTACATAAATCATACTTGTATAACCTTATTATCAGGACTATACGTTAATAATATATACATAACATTTTGCAACATTGTTATCATGACAACAACAATATATACAAAAATTAGTTATACACCAGGAAAAACACCTACATTTAATAGCATTCATGCCTTTAAAAATATATTAATTTCAAAAACAAGACTTACCCAGAGTTTGTTGTCCCTTTGACGCCTATTGAACTATTATTAATCCCTTTCCCTTTAACATCATGTTTGCTTCCTACCAGTTGGGGTTCATCGAACCTTTCCCTTTTGATGGAGAATCAAGATGTATTCCTTTTGATGGAGAATCAAGATGTATTCCGGATAGAGAACAGTATTCTTTAAAACTAACGACATTCATCTTTATACCAGTTTGCTGGTGAAATTTACATGAAAATTCAACATATTTGTTATACTTTTTTTATCTTTTGGCATTAAACCAACAACGAACTCTCTGACTCAGATCTGCAATAATATTCATTATGCAGAGATATTATTCACAACCTATATAACTTCTAACAAACACATTATGGATTCCATAAAAAAATATCCAATACTTGAACATCAATAACTATAAACTCACCCACATGCATGTCATTTTCCCCCACCATTCTTCATCTTCAACCAGAAGTTGAACTGAGCTTTTCTTTCTATGTCTACTTCGGGTTTTGATAAGCTACACCTTGTGCTTTTCAGGGGAAGCGCTTTTTCCGTATTTCTCACTTGAAACCCATTTTAACCCTATTACATAGAATGTTCCTTTTGTACTTCCATTCCTTCTTTATCATCGGCCCAGTGGCCCATTTGGCTCTCCATCTCTTTTTTTAAAATAAATTATTCCCTAATGTATACAACTGACACCTTTTTATATTATATCTTTATATAATATCTTTTTACACTAAATAAAAAATATAGTTTTTTTATTACTTTATAAAATAAACAGATCAATGGTCAGGATCTAATCAATATTAAAACAAAACAGAGCCCACTTATACATGTATTTTCATTCTCATACGGTGTACACAAAACAGAGTCCTGTTCAAACCTAACCATCCACACACAGTGTGCCTTCTCCTCCTCAGATCAACCGAACATGGCTGCCAAAGACTTCTCAAATACTGTAACCAACGGCGAGGAAAAACCACCAAGGTAAGTTCATCGGTTTGATCAGTCATTCCCGAGTGTTGCATGTCGTTTGATTTATGGAAATGCGTACTTATCTATATCTGCATGCGTGTCTAACATTGGTTGTTTGTGGACATGGATAATGTTGTTGATGGTTAATGGGTTTGAAAATAATATAATGTTTTTTTCTTCTACATCAGTAACGAAAATGGTTATGTACAGTAATTATTTAGGGTTTAATTCCTCCAGATAAACCTGAAATCATAGACATAGCATCTGCGAAACCGTTTATAGTTATGATATAAGTAATATGCAGTTCCTGATTTTTAGTTGCAAATACAATATGTTATCATGTAACTGACAACCTTTAGCTAATTCAGTGTTTCTGTTGAAATATTGCAGGCCATATAGTTCTATTGATGAGAAAACTTTGGTACAAGACTGGAGTTGGGTTGTAACTGATCCCATGACAGTGTGTTCCAATACTCTTGTAAGTACAAAACTCATCTGTATCTATAGCTTTCGATTGGGAACATTGGTAACAAAACTATATAAAATTAGTTACATGTTTTATTCTTCTAACAATATTTGTCCGTTAACAGCAAATCTCCATAAACATGATCAAAAATTGTATTCGTGGAGGGGACAGGCCAATTTGGCTTTTAGATTGCGACAACGGAGTCCCATACCATTGCCTGTTGAAGAAGAGAAAAAGGAGTGTATAAATGTACCTTTTGGATTACTGGTATGACTATGCTAAGGAAGCCAATTTGAAGGTAGGTGATATGTTGCACTCTGCATCCGTTATCCTCCGGTGGACGAGATCTTTGTATCGGTGGAGCGTGGCAATGCAACTCATGGTTGGCGGTCATGGTAGTCTAATGTATATGGGGCTGATAAATAGTGTGTATGCATAATCCGTAGTTTATGGAAATCCTTTTTTGAAGACATGTGATGAACTCAATCTAGCTAAGGTGTTTTGTTTAACTAGAAAGAATATATGTTTATGTCAAAACTTGTGGTATTTTTTGTTGTTGTGAGTGTCTTTGCTTAACTTACAATGATGTTAAGTTTTACTACCATGGTTGTTAAGTGCGTAATTTATTCTATGTAACATGTGTGAACTATGTATGGTTGTAGTAGTTTTGGGAGTATAATGAATGGATAATGTTTGGCAGTATTATATTTATGAATGTTGGTACGGCTAATCTTTTAGTTTACATTATTGTTTTATTGAATAATTACTTATATTTGTCTCATATTCTTTTGTTATTATCGATATATATCATTTCTATCAATTATATAATTTTTCTATCGGAAATAAAAATGGTAATAAATAAAGTAGTTGCATTTTATTGAAATATGATAAATTTATAATTGTTGAACGATGGTATACTTCAATTATAGCTATTTTTTCTTCGTATATAAACTTTTCTTAGCTTAACGTGAGTTACAACCCAGAACTTATGCAAACACACGAGTATCATTCTAGTTTTCTTACGTGATAGACGAAAGAAATTTGAAAATTTTCATAAATGAAATACACGCGTGAAGTGGCAATTTTTTATTTGAACCAGTAGAAACGGTTTTGCTAATGAAGAAATATGTGAAAATTTAAAAATAAAGACACAACAAGTGCGTGCGTTTTTGAAGTCTCTCTCACTCTCACACTCCATTTTCATTCCATTCCAATTCAACGTAAAAACCTAACATCTTCCGAAACTTTCACCGATCGCCGCCGATTTCTGCCGCACCTCCGGCCACCTCCTCACCTCCCTTCTTCAGGTTTCTTCGCCGTCGCATTTTACTTCAATCTCACTTTTCCTTAATATTCCACTATTGCATAATTTGAAGACGAAATACCTAATCTATATTAGATCTAGTATATTTTGTACGAAACGACGATGTACTGCCGAAATTCGCGATGCGAATGATTTCTCTGACATATTTTCGTTAAGTTTTGGCTCTAATCATCTCAGAACCATTTTTTGGGATTCAATTTTCATAAAGTTAGTTATATTTTGTTTGATGTTTTGCAATGTAAAGAAATAGCTTCTGAGCTTTGTATTGTAGTACAAGGATTAAATTAAATTAATAGTTTGGAATTTGCGGTCGCGACTTCAGTCGTACAGGTGTCGCAACACTGATTGCGGTCGTCGCAGTGTGAATTAACTATAATTTGTTCTTTACCTGCCAATACCGTTTTCGCTGTCGCGCACTGTTTTTTAAAACCTTGGATCTGGCATCAACTCAATTTACCATTGATTAACAGATCTAAGGTGGATATTATATATATTATCTACATTATAAAATATGAGTTTATTAAAATAACAACCCTTGATTTTCTTATTTTACACTTTAGTAAGGTTAGTGGAGCCAAAATTTATGATTTTGATGCCGTTTTGTGGTAGTGTATATGAGGAATTTGTTCATTACTTGATTATTACTTCATAAAATTTTCATCAAATTATTCATGGAAACTGGAGGTAGAGATTATCCTGTTTTTTTTTAATTGTCCTAGTTTTTTAAAATTTATTTCATTGAATAATTGGAAGAGTTGAAGTAATGAAAATTTTCCTTCTTTTCCATGGTCGCTTGGTGTTAGGGTTTTGTAAAATCAACTTGGACGCTACTGCTCCAATGGATATTCATCTGATTCAGAAGCTACTTGAATCCCAAGCTTCATTGACGCAGACGGTGGTGCCGGTGTTCCTTCCCGATGAGCTGATCATGGAAATCATATCTCTCCTTGATGTGAAAATCATCCAACGATTCATGTGCGTAAGCAAATCATGGAATACTCTGATTTCTGATAAAGCTTTCATTGAAATGCACTTAAAGAAACCGTCACGAAACCCTCATTTCATATTACCAATTATGGGATTCCCTCTGTCGAGTTCGATTGTTTTACCTGTGCAACAGTTACTCGAGAATCATGCAATAAATTTTGCCGGTGACACTGACCTGAGTCTGGAAATTTGTGATGTTGTTGGTTCCTGCAACGGATTGCTCTGTCTGCTTTTCCATTCTACCCCACATGGAGTGCGCGGATGTGATTTCAAATTCAATCAAAGATGTAGTAATGTTCGAGTTCTACTTCTGGAACCCTGCAACAAGGACCATGTCTGAAAAGTTTGGGTTTTTTCAGGACTATGAGCCTGGATTTTGCCCATTCAAGTTCTGTTTTGGTTGTGATTATTTAACAGGAACCTACAAGGTAGTGGTACTTCATACAGAACACAATAAAGACAGAAAGAGGGACGACGATGGCGATGTATGGATAAGCAAGGTGAGAGTTTTCAGTTTGGGTGATAATTGTTGGAGGAGAGATATTCAAACTTTTCCTTTGGCTCCTCTTTTATGGAGCAATGGTGTGCATTTGAGTGGAACTGTTAATTGGTTAGCTATTCGCGGTGCTTTCACATCCACGTATGATGGAGGGATAATTAGAGTTTCACTTCCAGTTAAACAATTGGTGATTGTTTCGCTTAATCTTTCAACGGAGACATACACAGAGTTTTTGCTTCATGAGGGTTTTGTTGAGCTGCCACGCGTTGAGCCGTGAGCCGCCACCGTTGAGCCATCTCTCTGTGTTATGATGGACTGCCTATGTTTTTCGCACGATTTTAATAAAACTGAATTTGTTATATGGCAGATAAAGGAGTTTGGAGTTCAACAGTCTTGGACTCAGTTATTCAGAATTGAATACTCGAATCTTCAAATCAATAACCCTCCAATGGAAGATGACTTGATTTATCTTGGATACATGAAATGTTATGTTCCATTGTTGCCATTGTACATTTCTAAGGATGGAGATACATTGATATTAGCACATGATGAAATTGACAACGCAGTTATCTATAATCAGAGGGATAGGAGAGTAAAGAGAAGTATAAATTCCAATGAAATATGCTGGTTTTCGGCCTTTGATTATGTTGAAAGCTTGGTGTCAACCCATTGGAAGTTATTTGAATTTATCATAATTCATGTATGTTGTTTAAAAACTTGTCATGTTATATTAACATGTGTGAATATGACATGTGATGCCTTAGGTTGATTTCATTGTAGAAAGATTATCTATTGGTCATTGTTTACGTTTGGAAATCTACTGGATTCAATGAGTTTTTATATCATATATAATAAGCTAGAAGGGGATTTTCATCATTCATGCATTCATTTTTTTTTCTGTTTTTATTTTATGTTTTGTTATTTCACTTCTACTCTAATGGATATTTTTTGAATTATAGATCTGGAGTTGGAGATGGACATGAAGATGAAAATGAAGACGAAGAGAATTTGTAATTGGAGGATGAGGATCCCAACCACAGTCTTTGTCAATTTGGTTTATCAGTTATAGCTTATGCAAATTGTTGTCCGCTTGCTCTGTGAGTGTTGGTTCTGTTATTTCTTTGAATATTGTGGCATGTAGGAATCACATATTCTAAAGACATTAGCTCGCTTCTCTTGACAATGTGGATAATCTCTCAATGTTAACTATGGTGTGTAGTTTAGCTTTTGTAGTTCCAGTTGAATCATTGTGGAATATGAATAGAGACTCCTAATTTCCACATATCATGTATTGATGACAAAGGTCAAAGTGGTTTTCACAATATTTGTGAACTCTCATATCTTTGTGGAATATGTTTGCACTTTTACATTGCTTTGCTTCTTATTCTAATTGTAAACTTACTGCTATTCTGTTTTTGCTTAATTTGATCTCATTTTGTTACTATAAGAAAAGAGTACTGTGGTTCTCTGGGACAGACAGAACTCTTGTACAATTTTCATAGATGATGTTTTATTTCTTGTCATAGCCCTCATATCATAAGCCACTTACGGATGAAGCACTGGTCATTATGAAATGGTAGTGATTATGATAAGCATAAAATGTTTTATAGACTATATCACCAATATGTGTGAAGGAGTTCTGTCTAGTGGGAGGGCACATATACATGATTTTTTCATAACAATAGGATTGGATTAAAGTTGAACCTTAAGTCTCTATCTTGTTACTTTAGTTTTGAATATACTTACTAAATACATCTAAAAATTAGAATTGGAATGTATGTTTTTTTCTGATGATGTATTCATACTTAGAGAGATGAATTAAATGAAAGTCTGGAGACGAATCTTAACAGGTATGATATGTGAGCATAATCAAGATAGAATATAAAAAATATAATTTTAAAGGTTTCTAGTTCAAAGGTGAAATTGAAGATCATATTATATTTTACTTTTTTCAATTTAAATATCTTGAATGCATAATACAAAGAGATGAAGAAGTTGAAAGAAATGATTAAACCATCAAATTTAAACTGAGTGATTGAAAAGGAGAAGAGTCTCTTTTATTTTATGTGATATAGAAATATCATTAAAATATAAGAATATTTTTTATCGAACAACTATTAGACCGATAATGTTGTATGAGACATAGTATTATCGGAAACAATAGCAAAAGGGTTAGGGTAACATCTCTATTAGAAAAATGCTGGAAGTTGAAATATAGGTGCTTAAGATCTTTGAATTATCTTCGAATTATATTGTACATAGGATATATCAAATAGAGTTGTCAAACCACTAAAAATAGAAAATAATAAATTGTATAAAAAGTCAATATTACAAGGTTTGATAGTTAAAGGAATATGCACCGGTAAAATGTTTTTACACCGGTAAAAGTTTATAATTGGTTGTATGTGTAATGTTAGTCTACGATACACTATCTTTAAACTCTTCCTTATTTACTATATTACCTTGGAAATTTGAAAGTTGTCGTGGGCAAAGGTGTATTTTTCTACAAAATAAAAGTTCTTAATTCACTATTCCTTATGTGGTATTTTTTATTTGGTTGAAAAAAATCAAATTTCTCATCTTTCCAGGAGCAAGTTTTCATTATTTGTTATTTGAATTTATTGTGAGTGGGTTTTATCATACACAAGTAGTACATATAAGCCATTGATATAATAGAAAACAATACGGATATGATCCAGATTAAAAGACAACTTTAGTAGCCATATATTTTTAAATGTTTGCTATTTAAATATTGTCTTTGCCTAAAATTTGAAATTATAATTATGGAATTTGTAATTATAGAGATGGCATTTGGCACAAAAAAATTAGACTTAAATAATAATAAAAGCATATTAGAGTGGAAAAAATTTAACTAGGCCATTATTAGTTAGAAAATAATTTCAAACAAAAATAATTAGGAACCTCTTAATATCATATTGAATCCCCTCGCCTATAACACCACTACTAGGGGTGTTTGCGCTTCGGTTTGAATCGGTTTTAAAGCAAAAACGCATCTGATCCAAAGATTAATTCACTTAAGGTTCGGTTTTGGATGATATATTTAAAAAAATTCAATCTGATCCGATCCAATTTTATGCAGTTTAATTTAGATCGGTTTTTGGATATCCAAATTACACATTATATTTTTATTAATATTATAAAACTACTAATAAATCATAGATTTGATATAATATATAACATATAGTATATTAAAAGTTAATATTACAAAATGAGAGTGATTGATTATGCTTGAAATAATAAAAATAAATAGATTATACCAAACTAATAAATATTATTAAAAAAATTATTATCATCTAATAATAAATTCACATAACATGTCATACTAATAAAAAATAAATAAGTATCAAAATATATTTATGCGGTTCAGTTTGATTTAGATCAGTTTTAAAAAATTCATCCAAAATCTAATCCGAACCGATTGATTTTCATAAAATAACATCTAAACACAACCAATAACTTTCGGTTTTTTATGGTTTTCAATTTTTTGAATCGGTTTTCGGTTTTTTATTTGGATTGGTTTGAATTTAAACACCCCTAACCACTACTAAACGACTCATCAAGTTCAGTAAAAAACAATGTCATGTCTTCAATTATTTTCATTTTATCAAACAGTCAATTTAAATAACATATAGAACTTTTAAATTCCTATGTAAAAAACAAAATAAATTGTAAATTTCATTTTAAATTAAATGATTAAAATAAAGCTGACTTGCATATATGCCAAGACGCTAGTATAGATATGAACCGCACTTCTACAATAAAAAAGACAGAAGAAACACAGCAATACATCAGTTTGATCAACTAATTCAATTAAACACCCCTTTACCGTTTGACAAGTTCTCATTTTTAAATTAGAATCGTGATTGTACATGTCATTGTCTGGACGGCTGATATAATGCTTATGATTTGCGCAAGGTAGTTCAGGCTTAAAGCATGCACTGCCATAAATATCCATGGCTCTGAGAATTTCAGAAATAGATTTTATTCTTTTCCAAAATCAGCATTGTAGTGTGCACTAGATTCAAGTTTCTTTGCCTCATTCAATTTTCTTACGGCCTGGAAGCAGTGTAAAGAGAGACAGTAAGGTAGAGCCTTCATAGAGAAATTCATACATAGAGAAATTCATACATAGAGAAATTCATACAAAGAAAAATTGCTTCCTGAACAAAGAGCTTACCTTCATGAAATCTTCGTGGATAACATAGTCCCGCTCTGCACGAATTGCTGACATTCCAGCTTCAGTGCACACATTTCGGAGATCAGCTCCATTAAAACCCTGCCAATTTTGTAACAGATAATACATTATAGATTAGGCAAATGTTAGCTAAAAGTAACCCAAGCCACCTGGACATACCTCTGCAAGCTTCACTACCGCTTCGTAGTCTATTTCACCATGCTTAGCAATTCCAGCAGCATGAATCTTAAGAATTTCCATCCTTGATTGTTCATTTGGCAATGGAATTTCTATTTTTCTATCCAATCTTCCAGGACGTAGGAGAGCAGGGTCAAGTACATCAGGTCGGTTTGTTGCCATGATCATTTTAACCTGCAATAGAAATTCAGAGAGCAATGTCATTATCAATTGATTATCAAGAATTTAGCAGAACAGTCATTCGAACAAAAACATCAATAATGAGAAAAGACTGATTCTTATATATTTGGGTGTGTTTGTTTCATGGTTGAAAATTTTATTCTTTGAAATGCTACGATTATTATTCTTGGGAATATTATTCCAATCCATGTGTTTAGTAAGAATTTAGGTTCCTAGGAATAATTATAAAACTTGTTTAATTTTAAATTATAAAAAAAAAAAAAAAATAGTAAATAGGAGTGATATTGGGAAGTTAGAGTTAGTTGAATTTATTCCCATGGGAATGTTTTATTCCCACCCTTTATGCCTTTGAATAAGAATAGAGAATCCATGAGTAAATAATATTCCTTGGAATAAAAAATTCCTTGGAATGATTTTTTAAAACTTGAATCAAACATGGGAATATTGCATTCCCATTGTCACATTCCCAGGAATAATTTTTGTAACCTTGAAACAAACACACCCTTTGTGTTACTTTGAGTCATTTGAAATATATAATATAATGAAGGGAAAAAAAGTCTGCTAAATATCCTATATCTATAAAAATGTTGAGTTTAATCAAGTGATTAGGCTCAAGTGGTTAATAAACTCCATTTAAAAATGAATCTTCAAGAGAACCCGAGTTTGAATTTTGAGAAGAATAATTCTTGGCCTGACTTTACTTGCCAACCGAACTCCAAATTACTAAGGCCCCTTCCCCTAGGAATAGGATGGTTAACACCAAAAAGAATGTTGGTTATGAACTTCACAAAAAGAAAAAGTCATGAAATAGCAACTCAATTGTTTGATAAATGAGGAGCACAAAAGTCACTCGTCTACGTTGTCTGACGTCAATCGTACGAGTGTTATACAATGTCGGGCACCGACCCAAGGAGTTTTGAAGCAAAAGAAAAAATTATTTTGGACATTTGTCTAAGTAACCTGATACTTGTCAGTAAGAATGTCTGACACTTGTCAGTAAGAATGTCAGACACCGCGACACACTTAATTTAAGAGGTGCCTGTGTTTCATAGGTTTTTTTATGTTAACCCTTTGGTACCCAAAGGAAGAGGGCTCTTGTAATTCGAAGTTCATCCGAGTGGTAGCTGGCTAAGAACTGTTCAATACAGGATGCAAACTCAAGTTCTCCCGATCTATTCGTTAAGTAACTCATTAACCACTTGATCCCAATCACATGATGGTTATTTTAAAATCAACTCAAAGAGAATAGATAAATAAGATATACCTTTCCAAGCTGATCAAAACCATCAAGTTGATTAAGCAGCTCCATTAATGTTCTCTGAATCTCACGATCTGCACTTGTTCCCTCACTGAAACGACGACCACCAATGGCATCGATCTCATCCATAAAAATGATGCAGGGCTAAGAAAACAGAGGAAATTTAGAACTTCTTTCAAGTTGATAAACCCATAGGAAGACAACTAAACACGAGAATATCACCTGGTGATCACGTGCATACCCAAACATCTCTCTTATTAACCTGGCACTTTCTCCAATATACTTATCAATTATGGCACTTGAAACAACCTATATTAGAGAAAAGGGAAGTTAAATACATTTTACAGTCAATTCAAAACACATAGAATTGATAAAAGATTCATAATACAACCTTTAGGAAGTTAGCATCTATATTGCTGGCAATAGCCCTTGCTAACAATGTTTTACCCGTACCAGGAGGCCCATAAAGGAGAACACCCTGAAAGATGAGGATATAAAGAAACGTCAAATGTAATAGTTATAAGCAAGGTTGTCAAAATCGGGATTTTGCATAAGATCGGGAGGGGATAGTAAGATCGTAAAACACAAGATCGGAAGATCCTAATCAATTATTTTTGTAAGATCGAGAGTGGGTAATAAGATTGTAAAACATAAGATCGTAAGAAAAATCGTAAGATACTACTAAAAGATAAAATAATACTACATATTTGAAGTATTTCTACATGATATTTTCGTAGGCAAGTGTATTCATGGGAAATGGACACCGCCGAACCATAATTGTTGCGCCTCTGTATCTTGTCATCCTTCTCGACATGTAATGGCAGTGGCAGGAATATGTCCGATAGTGGCCGAAACTGGCCAAGATCGCACATAATCAATGTTTTTACCATTTTATACAATTTGACTATAACACACGATTCTACTTAAGATCTAGATCGTTGGGGGCAAGTGAGATCGTAAAATTTTAAGATTTAAATCGAGATTTTTATAACCATGGTTATAAGTATGGCTAAATAAGAGTTTTTTTTTTGGTTTGCAAGAACGGTTTCTATTTTTGTTTTTACTTAATAGAATGGCATATTATTTTCATTGTCTCTTGTTTTGAATGATTTTACGGCAAATAATGAATACAAAAAAAAGTCCTATACAAATGTATGAAATCAAGAATAAAACAGAACAAATGTGGAATTTTTGTAAATAAAAATAAAAACAGAACATTTCTGCGTAGTACAAAACACTCCAAAAAAAGTAGAGATTTAGATGACGACATTGCTAAAGACACACACTAACACTGATACATACCAGATACTGTAAATTGCAGTGAAAAGTTTATTACCTTGGGAGGTTTAATTCCAACTCTAAGAAAGAGCTCGGGATTCATTAGAGGCAACTCAATAGATTCCCTCAATTCCCTGATCTGATCAGATAAACCACCAACAGCAGAGTAACTAATATTACCGGGATCTTCATGAAGCATATTGTACACAACTGGATCAACCTAGAAACCAAATTGATAGAGGTTAGTGAGACAAGCAATCATGGAAAAGTACTTGGAGATTTTTAGAAAAAAGAAAAACAAATTAGGGAGCCGGAAAGGACACAAACACATTTCATCAAATAACATAAAGAGAATAAACTCTGATAACCTACTTCACGAGGAAGAGCACGCATTATGGTGAGTGTTGTCATATCAAGAACCACTCTAGTCCCTGAAGTGAGCTTTTCCTTATCCACTTTACTGCGGCAGCCAACCACATATCTTGGACCACTACTTGCTTTAACAATCACTAAAATAACAAAAACATAAAGATTTTAAAATCATTGATTCATTCTTACCTTCATATCGATCAAGAAATAAGATACTGTTTTGTTTTTTGAGTAGGCGGCTCACACATACAAGTTATAACAAAAAATATATCAAGAGCGAATTAGATACACATGTTTAATATTTCATAAGAAACAAAAAAAAAAAGATCCAGAATAAAATATCTTCATGCAAACAATCCAGGTTTGTTATACAACAACTTGCTTGTAACACAAAAGATCAAGAGACAACCTAAATATAGATGTAGAGATGATAAGAATGAAGTTGCAGAGTTTGATAGCATGAGATAATAATTAAACAATGATAAGAAAAAATGAAAGAGCAATTACAGCGTTCATTATCAAGAGGCCTGAGAACTTCGCCAATTATCTGACCAACACTTTGAAGAGACTTCAAATCATCTTCTGTTTTGTTGAACTCTTTCTTTGAAGCTCGCAAGTTCTCCCTCACTGCATTTTGAATTTCAAAACCAAAGTCACTATTCTAATCCACAACTATTAAGTCCATCATCAGAAAAAGAAATTAACATATCGGACCATGATAAAGAAGTAACACAACGAAACTGATTACTATTGTAAAATCATTAATCATAAGCTAAAGGAACAGACAAAAGAATTTCCATTCTTGAATAACAGAACTTGCTAAAATTAGATTGTGGCAAACCTAGCTTAGATGATATTCTACTTCCATCGTCTCCGATTAAGAACTGTATTCAGATTACATTGCTCAACAGGAAATTTATTTACTTAACCAAAACAATCTAAACCAAACTTCAAACTAATTTTAACAATAGATCCAGTTAATAATCTTAACCTAATTTCGAAATAAACATGTAAAATTATCAAAACGATGATTTTCTAGGTCATACCAAAAAAACCTAATTCAAGAAATTGATAGGGTTTTCCGATTCCAAGCAAATCAATTACTAAATAAGCCAAAAGCACAAACAGTAACACTACGACTTTGGAGAATAAGTGAAAAGCGAAAACGACGAGGAATTTAGATTCTGTAACAAGCGAAGGAAAATCGTGAAGAAATTGAGAGACAAACCGGATCGGACTCTCGATTCCAATTCTTTGTGTTGAAGAAGTTTCTTCCGATACTCGGCGACCGCGTTACGGCGTCGCACGGCGTCTTCTGTGTCCGTCATGGTTGTGGCGCTACGAAATTTGGAAAGATGGAAGGGGGGGTGAAGGTTAGGTCGCAGAAACTAGAACGGTGGAGTAGAGAGAGTAATAGACTGATTTGTGGACTACGAAAGCTTATTATGTTATGTCGTTGTGTGAGGTGACCCTGATTATTTACCACTACGGCACTACCTCAATTATTAACCCACTATATAGTTGTTTTCTTTCATAAACAAATCGAATAGTAAAAAGATAGAATCACTCTAGTTAAAATACGAGTGATTTCATTAGTTTCTCTTTTAATGAATTTAACATAAGAGTTTGTAAATAGAAGAATCAACAAGCGATTATATTCTCGAATAATCACTCTAAATTCTGAATTATTGGGTTTTGAGTTGTTCACACTATTCATTACATTTTTAGCATTTAATTTGAAATTTATGTTATCAAACCCAAGATCGTGCACCTAATTAATAGTTGTTAAGAGATCCAGAGTCTCTCCAATATCAACATCACTGATGGGAGAAAACCATTCAATTCTAGCAATGACAAAACACCTCTTATCGTCCCTAATACAAACATTGACACCTATTTTATCCTGAGTAAAGGAAGCATCGATGTCACATTTAAAACGACCTAACGAAGGTCTACCCCATTTAGAAATAAGAATCCTATCATCTGAGATAATATTATTACCTCAAACCTATTGAGATTTTTTCCAACTTGCCAAACAATGCATAGCTCGATGACAAATATCAGACACATAGTCATATATATTATTCCATGTATTATTATTCCTGCCTTTCCAAACATTCCACATAATAGTAGAGAAAATCGCCTGATGATCTGGATTAGCCATCGGTAAAAAAGAGAAAATAATAGAGGTAAAATCACCCCCCATTGAGGATCAAAGGATGTAACATATACCATAAACCCATTTTTTCAAAACACTTTGTAGTCTTTGGGCATTGGAAGAACAAATGATAATTATTTTCTTCGCCTTCCATACAACCTATGCAGTTTGAGAGACAATCAACTCCTTTGTCTAAGAGACGGCTTATGGTTGAGATTTAATTCCTACAGAGATGCCACAGAAAATTCTTGACTCTTTAAGGACCTTTAACATTCCAAATAAGATTCTAGTTGCCATTAACCCTTAGATGAAAAGTGTCAATAGCCTCATTGATACTGCAATACGGTAGGAGAACTGACTTGATTTTGCATTTTATTGCAAATATGCGGATAGCAAGAGTTGCCATCGACTTTTCTTTTATCCAATAAGGAAAAAAAACAGGAAATACCTTGGAGAATTTTTTAGTTCGGGGGGTAGCTTATGAAAAGGGAAAGTGTTAGCACCTTTTTCATCCGTAGTTATCTACAGATTCTTAATCGCTAGCCCACTTTGTTTGAAATGCTTTGTGTTTGAAAATATTTTGAAAAAATGCCTAAGTGCGACAACATTGTAATGATAAGTTAAGAATGCGTACAAATTGTTTGTTTTTTTTTAAATATTTCAGAAAAGTGTTTTTGTGTGAAAAATATTGGTTTTGTTTGTGAGCAAGCGATTAAGAACTTATCTACCTACTCAAAAGTCTTTCATGTTGTTCTTCTCCTCCTTTAGATAGTGTTATCCTACCATTAGTTAGTAGGAAGCCATATCGTTGGATGTGAAAGGACAGGCGAAGGTCATCATACAGTCATAAAGGCAACTCGTAAGGACGCTTTAGTAATTTTATCGTAAGAGACTAGATCGTTTATCGAAGGCAACATCGAAAGGGTCATCGAGGGACTACAATCTTTTTAACTTAGGGTCTTTGCTAAAGCATCCCCAAGTTCGAGAGACATGACTATTTTCCGAAAGGCAACAATGGAGGTTACCCTAGAGGTGTGAGTGTGTGAAAAGTTATTTAATTCAGTTATTTGATCTTGATTAGGATTATCTGGCATTTTGTTTTAGATCTTGCCATACATACCCTAATTACTATCAATTATAAGGAAAACGGTAAATTGTGGAAAGTAAAGATGCAGAAAGTAAACCTAAACTATTACAGGGCTTCGGGGAAGGGGTACAAAACCATAAAATCAGGAGAAAAAGTAAACCCTAATTAAAACTATTGCATATTGTAGCAGTTACATAATCGGAAAAACTAATGCGAAAATAGTAAAGCACACGAAGATTGTAAAAGAGAAAATGGAAAAATTGTTTTGGTGATTTCATGACGAAAAAGTTTTAATAATCATCCTAAAGTCTGATTGATTTTAATTAATCAAAAAAAAGTTAGGTAATTAAATTAATCGAAAACCTAAAATCTAAGTTGATTTTAATTTAACCGAGAAAACCTAAAAAGTCAAATTATATAAAACCTAAAATTAAATTAGGGTTAATTAAATAAAACCTAAAATTAAATTTAAAGCCTAAAATTAAATTAGGATTTTGTTAAAAATGTTTTTGAAAAAAAACTTTTAAAGAAAAAATGGTGAAAATGAGTGAGAAACATAGAATGACCAAAAGAGTAGGGGTGGGTGTTGAACCCACGCCCTCAAGCATTCTCCACGCCTAGCATACCACCAGGCCAAACTACCATTGGTGTCAAGATAGCAGGTCCAATGCATCATATGATAAACCTGCAAAGATAATGAAAATATGAAGAAGAAAAATGGCAAAACCGGGGATCGAACCTGTGACATGGGAGAAGAGTGACTTAGCGCGCGCGTTTCTACCACTGGGGTGGCTATACAATTGTTCATATAAATAAAACAATAAACATAAATGTAAAGCATGATTATATTGTCCGGAGAGGCGCCGGATACCTAGCTCCGATCATTTTCTCCGGTTGCCCTCTTCCAATCAACTTGCGAAATAAGCATTATTAGGAAGCAAATAATACCCTAGCCCCCTAAATCGAGGGCTGCGAATCCAATGGGAGTATTTTTGAAGGCTAAAATGCAAGAGATTAAGAGCTATGATGTAAACATGTGAAATTGGTGTTAGCATGGTGGTTCACGTTTCAGCATGCATGGGACCTCCATGATCGTTCTAACCTGCACTATCAAGACTTATAAACATATTAGAGACGTTAGTATATGTTAAAGCAAATCAAAACTCAAAATATGAATGTCATGAACATTATGAAATCGAAGATGTCATGTGTTGTATCCCAAAATTTGTCCTCTCATTTCTCAAGAATTTTCTCACGAGTTCTTCCATGAGCATGTTTGTGGCACAGATACATCAATTTAGGTTTGAAACTGGCACAAGGGCAAAATGGTCAAAATGCACATTGAAAAATTAAACTTTGACTTTTTGATCAAAATCAAGTTTTAAGAATCATATTTCATCAAGACATTATTAGAATATGAAGTTGGTTCATCAATAAAGTCAAAAGTCAAAATTACTTTGGAAAAGTCAAAGTTCTAAACACTTAGAAATTTTTCTAAGTGTTAAGAAAATATGATAAGTTCAGAACTTCTGGCCAGATTTTCATCATGATGCGAATTAATTCAGGAAGAACTTCTGACACAAGAGTTGTATATCTCAACGAGATCTAAAACATTGCCGAACATAACTCCTCCTAGAAATGTTGGGATTTCAAGTTATAAATCCTTGAAGACACGTCCATGAAACTAAAACACTCAGTAAATTTTGAGCATTTTCAAATCAGAATTTGATTAGAACTTCTGCGCCATTTTTCACATAGGTATAATCAGAGTTTGCAAAAGTGATTCAAAGAGGGGGTTACAAGGCATGTTACAAGCTTTCTGAAAAGTCTGAGAACTCCTTCAGATCATGCTGGAGCAGGGAGATTCTAAGATCAGAAGCTGGACGTTGGTTCTTAATCTAAATTACATTTATGCTGAATTTATGATCCAGTTTCAAGCTATACTTCATAATCTCATGTTGCAGGCCTTCTTGCTTGTTAAATCTCATCATCATTTAATGCTCACATCAACTTTTGAATCTTTATCCCAGTGTTTAATCCTTTATCCAAAAGATCTTCCCACGTGTGGCATGAAAGCACCATTGTTGTCCTTAAACAGCAAACTTTTGTACAAAGTTTATTTTGAGCCCATACTTTACTTTGTTTCTGAATGTACTTCCCCACAAATCATGCCTACAAACTCAGATTAGGTGTGTTTAAAGCTGCTAACCACCCTACCTTACCTTGAAACCATGCTTGCCTAAACTTGCTTCAAGAACAAGTCAACGATCCATAACACGTGATGGTTGTACTCCTGACTTCTCCAAGCTTCCAAATCCTTTGCCTATAAATTAAGCTTCATTTGCAAACTGAAGAAGGATTAAAAAGAGGATGGAAAAAAGCCCTGAAACCTTACTGAAAATTCACAAGAACCTGAAACTGCAACACAAACATAAAACCTGCTAGTTTCTGATTTTTGCATCCAAACTCTAATTTTCCTTGTGCGTTTCTTGCCTAAATCATTCATACAGTTTCTGGTATACCCGTAGAAGCTTTCCCAACTTCAGTTTTCAAACTGTAAAACAGTCTTCACCAATCTCCATTTAAAAAATCAGAACTTTGCATCTTGACTGCTCTAGAGCATTCCAACCATTCATAACTCAAGTTAAGGGTTGCTTTAGCTTTCTGAGAACTTGAGGAAGCTGACCAGAACATCACAGTAGTCTGAACCAGGCTCTAACTCACAGAACAATTTCCAACTGCAAGGTAAGTTTCTTCTGATTTTCATCTCATTACTTAGGCATTGTTAGGCTTGCAATTTCAAAGATACAATGTAGATATCATGGCTCTGAATCTGTACATATTTATAGATTTCATTTGTATGGCCTAAGTAGAGAGAATTTCAGATCATAACTGTGATACGGTGGGAGAACTGACTAGTGTTTTGCGTTCGTATTCGCACTTGTGCGGTTGATCAAGAGTCGCCACCGACTTTTTATTTTATCCTAAAGGAAAGGTTAAAAAAGCACAGCAAAAACCTTTTGAGATGTTTCGTGGGTTCGGGTAGATTATGAAAAGGGAAGGTATTAGCACCCTTTTCATCC